TGATTGGCTAGTTAGTTAAGGTTAGGTAGCTTGTCCTTCTCCTGAGCGACGGGGGGTGAGGCGGAGGGATCGCTACGCTCTGCCGCTGTCTTAATGGCAACAGTACACATACAAATGTTCGCCACTCTGACTAACCTGCTACATTGATTTACATGTCCGTTCTACTCTTATTTCGCTGTCTCGTTACACTGTTGCCTTACGTTAAGTGTCGTAACGTTACGTTGTTAGGTTTGCTGTTACATTAAGTTGTTGCGTCATATTGTTGCATTTTTATTTTAACACTTGATATATGATCATAGATTTAATTTAGAAAAGGATTTATTTACATTCCCGCCAGATTTTTTAATTTTGCCCAACATATTTGTCTGATTATTTATTTGTGCCGAACACGCATGACATATTCATGAAAACTCACCTTTTCCTGCAGATTCCCTATTGGACAGAGTGTTAACAACGCGCAGCTTCTGTACGTTAAAAGTTGAAATGTTAAGTGCATGTCACCTTTCATTGACTTTGAACTGAGAAGAGTAATTCACTTAATCTATATACAGTACAATACTCTTTAGTCTGGGCAGTAGCGTGGAGCTTATACAGTACATCTACGTGATTCACATTTCTATTTCCTAAAAACACAACGTCTCTATTCCACATTCCGGTGGGACAAAGGACAGAGTGATGGATCTATATAAATGTGACAGATTTAATCTGGTGCTGTGTGACCTCATCTTAACTCAAACAGAGCGGAGGAGTGAGAGGGAGCGGCGCTGCGACACGGACCGGTGTGTTGGGACGCCTGCTGTAGATGCTCTGGTCGATAAAGGACATAATGACGATAATGACAATCATAATTATAACAACAGAAATTAGAATAATGACAATAACAATAGCTTTAGAAAATATGTTATTTAGGACACAAACAGTGCAGTGTAAAAAAATAAAAACAGACAATAGATACAAAAAAGCTTCAAGACCAATAAGTTTATACAGAGCAATGCATACTATATGCAACATCATATCAAAATTCAAAAGACTTAGCTTAGCACAAACACTGGAAACGGAGGGAAACAGCTAGCCTGGCTCTGCCCAACAGTTAAAATAACCCACCACCTCTAAAGCTCCTTAATCAACTCCTTATGTCTTGTTTTATTTTTTAAAGGCGTCATGTGCCGGACTGTTTCTCGGCTCTGAGCAGTTACCAGGCAACCAGCTGAGACTCCAGAAATCTGGACGTGTAAATCTCCAACGCCCAGCTTTTCAAAAGTCCTGTAGTCCTATATAGTCCTGTAGTCCCGGTCATCACAGAGAAAAGAATCATCTGAATATTCCTCTTAAGACTAAATACAGCTGACAATGAATAAGGCAATTATTTTGGAAAGTTTGCACGTTAGTCATTACACAAATGTAATTAAAGCAGAAAGGATCTGTTGAACCATGAACAGGAGAAATGCTGTTTATTTTCTATGAAAGAGGTTCTTCACTCTGATTAAAATGAATTGTTTCCTAACTTCTATGAACAGCCTCGATGGGCTGGTGATTACCAAAGTGGACCTCTGAGTGAGCGGGAAGTTTCCGAGGAGAAGAACCAGCAGCTTTTAGGAGGCAATTTGAAAGACAAAGTGAATGCGAGTAGACACAGAGGACCTCCCGCAGCTTCATTTAAAAGAAGCATCTATGCAGCGCAGTGGACGACTGAGGCGCACTCCCTTTCAAATCAATCACAGTGAAATATCCCAAAGATAAAGGACAACTTGTCCCGAGGGTAATCTGGCATTTTGCTCAGGGGGTCAAAACTTGAGCAGTGTGAAAAGTCCCTAATTAGAGCAATGTAAAGGCAGCGCTGGGATTCACATTGTGGCTGGTTAGTGACAACACTCTCTGTAATACAGATGAGACGGGAGAATGAACACGTTCATGTTTCGGGGGGAGGAACAAAAGAGCAACGGCAAAAGGTCAACGGGATGAGAAAGGATTGCTTCGGACACCTAACGAGCCCACGCGGCTGGTTATTAATATCTCAACAGTGTGACTGGAACATATGGAAAACTTTGTTGAAATGAATCTTACTCACCGCTAGAAGAAAACAACTCAACTCATCTCTGAGGGAAAGAAGAAAATCTATTTAGAAACTGAAGGTAACTGAGATAAAATAACCCCAAGTTATGAAAAATAAAGAATTTCTAGATCAAATATGGATTTTAAATATATATATATATATATATATATATATATATATATTTTCAAAGTAAAGTTATCTTGTGTCATATCCATCTATCTATGTATTTGGTTTGTTACAGCTATTTGAAAGGAGCTGATTATGATATTCTGAGCATATCTACCGTTCAATGACAAACAAACTGCTTATTGAACCGTTGTGCCACTATTAAATACAGGCCCGCTAATGTTTTGATGAGATACCAGAGACATTGAAGAGGACATTATCTGAACAACCATGAAGCAGCATGAATTAATAAATCGATCTAATTGTATATTTTATAATTGTTAAAACACATTGGAAATAGCTTTCTTCCCCCTAATGTGCAAAACAAACTGAACTCAAAGGCTGAGTCGGCAGCTTGCAGCAAACAGTGCAAACAATGAGAACAGCGCTGGCAGAGATAAGTGTTTACCTGAGGGGGGAGCCGGAGGACGTGGTGCTACACTTCCATGATGACGGCGGCGTTATGAGGTCAAACCGCCGTATGAGAACCGTGTAGAGTGCCGGCCGTTAGCTAACCGCTCACGCTAAAAGGCACGCGGTGGCCGGGCGGCTATTTAAACAAATCACAGAGAAGCTCTGACACCTTGAGGTAAACATGGTCATGGTTCACTCTGATTGGCTCAGTGGGACATTTTGTTTGTTGTGATTTGGGAATCGAACCAACTGCTCTAACCTCTAACCACTCTTTCTGGTCGTGTGTCTTTTGTCAACAAATGTCTCGATGATTTTCAAGACTTTTCATTTACCAACAGATGACAGATTCAAAATGAAACGGCCTCGTCCACATAAATGTTTGATTACATTTGGTTTTGAAATGTCAGTGAAAATGCCAGAGAAATATAAATGCAGTTGAGACTCATGAAGGTGTTCAAACACCATCGGATTCATATGCAATGTTCGCGAGGTGCAGCCAGAGAGAGATCTTTGACAGGTGCAGAAATGTGTTGATCTATTTTCACACTTAATATGAATCATGTTACTCTCCGGCTCCTGTTGCCATTTCAATTACCACACCTGCTCATCTGGTGGGAGTGCGGTTGGATTAAGAAGTCAGCGTGCTAACATGACTGTGACAGGACCCAAGACTTGTAGAAATATGTGCCGTGGCACACCAGCGAGAACCGATGTTTAAAGAAGAGACGAATGAGTAAAGCGTGTGTGTGTGTGTGTGTGTGTGTGTGTGTGTGTGTGTGTGTGTGTGTGTGAGAGAGAGAGAGAGAGAGAGAGTGAATGAATTATCGAGGTAGCAAAGGTATAGAAGGTATTGTAGAAGTATTCAGTGGAAGTAGAATGTCAATGTACTCAACAGTGGTCTATCAAACGAAAACTCAGCTGTTAGCTAAATGCAGTGATCAATAAGATTAGTAGGTCTAGGTTCGCTGTTCTCAGTTTGGAAATAACTAAAAGGGCTAAAGCTTTAGGTAAACTCCGTGGTCTAAAAGTTCTGAGTAGAGTCTGGTAGCTTTGAGAGATACAATAGTGTCAGTTTGGCCTGTCACGATAATTATTTTAGTTAGACAATAAATTGTACCAAAAATAATTGCAATAGACTATATTAATGTAATTTGCAACGCACTTTAAATTTTTAGGAATACTCAAGACATTGGAATTTGAATGTGAAAAGAAATATTATATCCTGACTAAATGAAACAGAAATAAATTGTTGACAAAAATGTACGATGTCTCTGCAATAGCCTACCCCAAATGTCGTTTAATGTTGGCGAAAATGTGCGCGACATTCTAAGGCAAACAACCATACATGAACACAGAACGGGCAAAAACGACGTCGGCGTAAATGATTTAGATAGTTTTGTTTTAAACTGTTTAGCTGTTTTAGACAGTACGGTACCTCGTTTGCTAATCTCAGTAGAGTTTTCGGAGAGTCTGCCGTGTTAAAGTACAAGTTGCTGACTCACTGGACCGGAGGTCGCGATTGCGGACCAAGACAGACTGTCGGTGTGTTCCGGGTGAGGATTTCACCGCCGTGGCCGTCACCTCCGCTGTCGGCGTGGTTTTTTGGACAACATCCTGTTTTTCTCAAGGACTGACATTGAATTGTGATTTTGGATTTGCTGTGTAACGGCTTCTGCTGAGGACGAGGATTCGGGAGGCAGCACCGCACCCGAGCTACACAGGTCTGCAACGTGTTCTTATTGTAATGTGTGTGTGTGTGTGTGGGGGGGGGGCATATGAGTGTTTTAAAGTCAATATGAGTGTTCTACCCTTAGTGTGCTGTAAGGTGTTATTGTTGTTTTGTTTTCTTGTCCCCCGAAAGAGTATTTATTATTTGAACATTTTCAAAAGCTGTCACAAAACTTGTATTTATTTTTTCATCCCAATCAGCTGTCTGTGGTCAGTTATTTAATTATTGCTAAGTTTGACACTTTCTTTGTTATTCGGAGGGTAATATAAAGTCACCAAACTCAGGTAAACCTTCGTGGTAATACACCCCATCATTCCAGTGTAGGTCTACTCTCTATAGAGTGTTGGGGTGCTACACATCATTCCTTACTGCACATACTACCCTTCTCCAACAATACTCCACGTTACTCCTTTCCCTTGATGTTCCATGGTTCCTCATTCAAAGAATACAAAATTATATTTAACTCCTTCACTACATTCTACTGACGTTCAGACTACATTTGAACACAAAGATAACTGTTACAACAGCCTGCTGCACTCTATCAGTCTACATCCAGCAATGAATCAGTGCTTTGGAATGAGACACACCTCAGTGTTACATGGGAAGCAACAACATTCATCAGAGGAGGTGTGACAAAGCTCCACCACTCACCTGACTCACCTGAGACAAAGCAGGAAACAGTTTGTCTTCCTCCCTCACTAAAGAGAGACACGCAGACTGAAAACAGACGATCAGATTCACCTTCAGAACAAACTAACAACTTCCTCTGAGTGAGTTCAGCTACAGGAGAGAAAAGAGGAAAACTACAACACTGCTGCTTCAACCTGCTGACGCTCCACACACTGAATGTGAGTTTGACTAAAAACAGTGAAGTTAGTAGAGGAGGGAGGGGAGCCATGACTGATGTACTTTCTGTGTTTTCAGCTTCACTCAGAGACTAAATGGCTTCCAGATCAGAAGAGGATCTCTGCTGTCCGGTCTGTCATGAAGTCTTTAGAGATCCTGTTCTTCTGTCATGTAGCCACAGCTTCTGTAAAGACTGTGTGAAGAGCTGGTGGAGAGAGAAACCAACTCAGGAGTGTCCAGTTTGTAAGAGGAGATCTTCAAAGGATCCACCTCTTAACCTGGCGTTAAAGAACCTGTGTGAGTCCTTCTTACTGAAGAGAGATCAGAGAGCTTCAGAGCCTCTCTGCAGTCTGCACTCTGAGAAACTCAAACTCTTCTGTCTGGACCATCAGCAGCCAGTGTGTGTCGTCTGCAGAGATTCAGAGAAACACACCGACCACAGATTCAGACCCATCGATGAAGCTGCTCCACAACACAAGAAGAAGCTTCAGGAAACTCTGGAGATCTTAAAGGAGAAGTTAAAGGTTTATGAAGAAGTTAAAGTGAAGTCTGATCAAACAGCAGAACACATGAAGGTCCAGGCCCGATGCACAGAGAGGCAGATTAAGGAGCAGTTTGACGAGCTTCACCAGTTTCTAGAGGAGGAAGAGGAGGCCAGGATGGCTGCACTGAGGGAGGAAGAGGAGCAGAAGAGTCAGATGATGAAGGAGAAGATGGAGGCTCTGAGCAGAGAGATAGCAGCTCTTTCAGACACAGTCAGAGCCACAGAGGACGAGCTGAGAGCTGAAGACGTCTCATTCCTGAACAACTACAAGGCTGCAGTGGAAAGAGTCCAGCAGCGCCCCCTGCTGGAGGATCCACAGCTGCTCTCAGGAGCTCTGATAGACGAGGCCAAACACCTGGGCAACCTGGCCTTCAACATCTGGAACAAGATGAAGGACATGGTCTCCTACACTCCTGTGATTCTGGACCCAAACACTGCTCATCCAAAACTCATCCTGTCTGAAGATCTGACCAGTGTGAGAGGAGGAGAGAGACAGCAGCTTCCTGATAATCCAGAGAGGTTTGATGAATACTGGTCTGTTCTGGGCTCTGAGGGATTTAACTCAGGGACTCCCAGCTGGGATGTCGAGGTAGGAGACAGTACATACTGGGTACTGGGTGTGTTAGCAGAGTCTGTCCAGAGGAAGGGACACATATGGTCTGGATTATGGAGTATATGGTTCAATAATGATAAATACTCAGCACACTCACCACCAGCTTCATCCACTGATCTCTTAGTGCAGAAGAAGCTCCAGAGGATCAGAGTGAATCTGGACTGGAACAGAGGAAAGCTGTCGTTCTCTGATCCTGATACTAACACACACATACACACCTTCACACACACTTTCACTGAGAGGATGTTTCCAATCATTTACACTTATGATGAACTGAATATATTACCAATGAAGGTGTGTGTGACAGTGGAACAGAGCAGTTAGAGATAAAGATCATAACTATATTCATGATGTTTATGTCTTAAAGCCTTAAAGCTGCACCTGTCCTCCTGATGTCTCATTCTTCTAAATATATCTTTATTATTTCAGTTATTGTTGTATTATTGTTTTTGTTGTTGTTTAGTTTGACAATCAGCTGTTTGTTTCTATTCTCTACCTTTTCATATATAAATATATCACTTAGTTCCTCATGTTGTGCTTTGTTTAGCCGTTCTAGTCCTCGACAGCCGAGACCAGAGGCTTCATGTTGTCATCTTGTTTTCATGATGTTCGTCCGCTCCGTTCTCATCAATGTGATGTATCAGGAACGTCTGGAGGGAACTTCTTCACCTCTGACACAAACATCCACTTGGACTCAAGGATGAACTGATTATAATGTGAAGTCAAAAGTCACTTCGACTTCACAAAACAATCAAGAATTCATCTAATTATTCTTTATAATTTCACACAAATGATGAAGTGGTGACGTTTTGAACGGACATGTTTGTAAACTGTAACTTGAGCGGTTGGTGGAGGAATACAGCCGTGAGTCGGTCATGCTAGTTCTTGTTATGGATACTGTCATTTTAAACTTGCGTTTCTTTGATTGTTGTGACTTGTGTGTGTGGAGTCCTGAAGACCAGCGAGCACTTTGTGGAAGCTGATGGATCCAAATGAAGAATAAAGAATCAATTCATCATGAACTGAACGTTTGAGCTTCAATCATTGTTCAGATCTAACACACTTTATTTCATCTTCTAGATCAGATTATAATGTTTCTAAACTTTAACATCAAGGTTCAATTACATGAAATGTTCACAATTTACACAATTTATTCATATGAAATCATACAAAATATATGAACACGTTTCTATTTGATGTAATGAAGACGAGATGATTCTGAGTTCTTCTTCACTTTCCATCAGTTGAAGTCTGCTGTTCACAGGAGACGTGGGATTTAAGGTGGACGTCTCTGATTTAAGGTGGACCTCTCTGTTTTAAGGTGGACATCTCTGATTTAAGGTGGAAATCTCTGTTTAAGGTGGACGTCTCTGTTTTAAGGTGGACATCTGTTTTAAGGTGGACCTCTCTGTTTTCAGGTGGACGTCTCTGTTTTCAGGTGGCCATCTCTGTTTTCAGGTGGACGTCTCTGTTTTAAGGTGGACGTCTCTGTTTTAAGGTGGACGTCTCTGATTTAAGGTGGACCTCTCTGTTTTAAGGTGGACATCTGTTTTAAGGTGGACGTCTCTGTTTTAAGGTGGACGTCTCTGTTTTCAGGTGGACGTCTCTGTTTTCAGG